GTGACAGAATGAGACTCCATCTCAAAAACAAAACAAAACAAAAACAAACAAGCAAATAAAGAAGTTGGATCTCACAGAGTGAAGGAAGGTGGGATATTTAGGAAAATTATGAAGCTGAAGGCGGGGATGGGGGGATTTCCAGAAGTAGAATAGGAGCCCAGTTATACCAGGATCCATTCTGTGTGTGTGTATGTGTATGTCTAATAGAGGGAAATTGGAAAGTACAGGAGTAGACCATCTGCACCCTCAGGCTCTGTTGCTGCTCTGACTCAGGTCTCTGCCTAGAGGAACTGAGGGCTCTATCATCTGTGAGTCACCTCCACCATCCCCAAGCCCTGTCTGACCCAGGAGAAACCCCTGCTCTGCGTCCTATGCCTAAAATAAACCCAGACTCCTCTCCTTTTTCTATCCCCAGTTTGCACACAGCACAGGAGGGGTGGATGAAAGATGTTGACTAGGGTGACAAAAGCAGACATTAGCGATAAGATGCTTGGGTTCTTTTGTTGCTCCAGGACTCTGAACTCAGTGATTAAGACTGTGACTAGAGCCAGATGTGGTGGTTCACGCCTGTAATCTCAGCACTTTGGGAGGCTGAGGCGGGCAGATCATCTGAGGTCAGGAGTTTGAGACCAGCCTGGCTAACATGGTGAAACCCTGTCTCTACTAAAAATACAAAAAATTAGCTGGGTGTGGTGGCAGGAGCCTGTAATCCCAGCTACTCAGAAGTTTGAGGCAGGAAAATTGCTTGAACCCAGGAGGTGGCGGTGGCAGTGAGCTGAGATAGCACCACTGCACTCCAGCCTCGGCGACAGAGAAAGACTCAGACTCTTATGACTAGATACCTCTGTGGGGAAAAAACTGGGAGTTTTTCCAGGTGAGACTAGGTTGGGGAGGCACAGGGGGACAGGGACTAGGGGTGGGCACTGACAGGAGAGTGTCAGGAATCCAGATTAAGCAGATCAGTGGGAAGGAATTTCCCCCACTCTTGCTAATGTCTTCTCTTCCAAAAGTTCTTGAGTTTTTCTCAATTTATTTTTGGCATTTTTGGAGGCACCAGAATGCTACGGCAAAATGTAACAACCCCAGATAGGAAGTTAAAAGGAAAACAAGATCCTCTGGGGTGTCCTAAACATTGACCTCATTTTATCTGCTCACTCAGGCCACCCCCATGTCTTTCCTTTCTCTCCCCTTTGCTGCCTTGTACCTACCTCTCGAGAGGAAAGGGGTGCCTGAAGCTTCTCAGCTCAAGGGCCTGGAAGTTAGAGGAGAGAACCATCCGGGGTGGGAGCTGTGGGTGGGAGTGTCAGCTTCCTGGGATGGCCTTCCCAGATGTAAGCACATCTGGAGCCCATCAGGAAGGGACCTGGAGCACCAGGATTCCCAGTGCACATCCGACTGGGGCTGTGAGGGGTTGAGGATGAGCCAGGCGTTTCCTCCCACCTCTACAAGTCCGACTGCCATTTCCAGCCCTCTCTTGGGAAGGATTATCAATCCCAGACAGAAAGGGCATCGGAAGAGGCTGGGGAGGAAGGCAGGAGGCCACAGATTGCACTCCAAACCCAGACATGCTATGTTACTAGCCTCAGCTCTTTCTGGCTTTATAGAGATAACAGCATCTCTGATCAGGTAGGAATCAGGGTGTGTGTGTGTGTGTGTGTAGAGCATAGTGTGCCATTAGTCCTTAACACAATGGCACAAAGTTGGGGATGGGGCCCAGCATGTCCCTCTCCTTGGTTTTCATAAGTCTTCCTCATGAGTTCTCTGGACCTCTAGCGCTCCTCATCTCTCTACCCCCAAACAAACACATACACTCCTTCCTTGGCTGCAAATTCCTCGCTGTCCATCATCACCTCACAATGAGCACATTTGTTTTCCAGGGATCATGTACAGGGCTAAGAAGAATAGGTCCATCCCCTTGCCTTTCTCTTCAGGGAGAGCTAACCTGTTAGGGTGCTGAACTAGGGGATAAGTGGGGTTTACAGCAATTCCTGCAAAGGTTCCAGGTGTCCCCAGCAGCCAGTGCATAAAAGTAAAATGGAGAGTCTTGGGCTGATATTTATGAGCCCGGTGACACAGAGCACTCCTGGGAAGCAGAGCCCCCTCCGTTTCTTCCAGAGCTATAACTTAAGGAGGCACAAAGCCTTAGAAGATTCTTAACCCCTGGACTCCAAGGTTGAGGCTTACTAAATTGAGATAATAGTATAAAAGAAGGTAATGTTGTATACAGTTTATACATTCACAATTCACAAGTGGTTACTTCTGGGTCTAATGTACAAAAATGTATTGAACTTCCTGCTTTACCTGTAGTAAGTAAGAATACCCACACCCCCCACCTCTGGCCTCAGTCCTTGATTGGATTCAAAGCCCTAAGGGAGAAGCCAAGAGGAGGAGCTTTCTGACCCTTCGGTTTATATTCCCTTCAACAGATGTCCAGCAGTTGGGATTTTGGATGCCTTCTTCCAGTCTCTAATCTACATGTGGCTAGAGGGTTCCAGACGATAGAATTGTGGAACTGGGAGGTAGGGTTAGGGCTTCCAGGTCTCTCAGATAGAAAAGGGGTGTGTGATGAGATTGACCTGGAAAGAAGAGAAGTTTGGGGTTTGATTAAAGAGCTGCATGCCTAGGAACAGGAACAGTGGAATGGTACTCCAAGCTTTCACCTCTAGGGAGAGCGGCCCTCCCTTCAGGCCACACTCTTCCACCCAGTCGGCCACAGCTGGCCACACCCCCACAGCTGGCTGGGAAATCTCAACCCTACCCCTCTCTAGAAGCCGATTGCTTACAGATGTTCTAGGAAGCGGGGGTTGTTGAGAGGAGGAAGGGCAGGATAGGGGTAAAGGGAAGGAAAACTCAAGGAAGGAGGGAAGACTCACTGAAGGGAGAGAGGAAGTTGTGGTCAGGTGGGGAAGCCTGTCAGATGGTGAAGAAGTCAGAGAGAAAGAAACAGTTGAAGAAAGAACGAGAGAAAATGAAAAAAAAGGGTCTCATTTTCCCCTGAAATCCACCCTACTCTTTGCGGGCAAATTAATCTTCCTAAACTAAGGCTCTGATGATGTTACTTCTCAGATCAAAACCTTTCGTGTTGGCCAGGCGCGGTCGCGCAAGCCTGTAATCTCAGCACTTTGGGAGGCCGAGACGGGCGGATCACAAGGTCAGGAGATCGAGACCATCCTGGCTAACACCGTGAAACCCCGTCTCTACTAAAAAATACAAAAACTAGCTGGGCGAGGTGGTGGGTGCCTGTAGTCCCAGCTACTCGGGAGGCTGAGGCAGGAGAATGGCGTGAACCTGGGAGACAGAGTTTGCAGTGAGCTGAGATCCCGCCACTGCACTCCAGCCCGGGCAAGAGAGCGAGACTCCGTCTCAAAAAAAAAAAAAAAAAAAAAAAAAAAAAACCAAAACCTTTCGTGGCTCCAACATTTTAACTAATAAAGACCTCAGTCTGCTCTAAGTTCCTAGAATTGTGTAAGGGACATTAATTAATAAATGCCATTGATCTAAGTAGTATACATTTTGAATGCTTACTATGTATAAAGCTCTGTGGGTTATGCTGGGGAGAATAAGGAGGGAGAAGGAGGGGGAAATGGGTTAGGTTGGAGACATAAATAAGAGCAAAGACGTAGACAGAGAGGGTTTAGAGAGAGGAAAAGACAGAGTGGCTAGGGATTGGTGAAGGAGAAGTGGGTGGAGGAACCAGGAAGGAGGATCCTAGAAAGATGGTAGGTGAGAGGAAAGGAGACAGGAAGGGGGAAGCACACAACAGAGAGGAGGGATAGAGGGAAAGGAACGTGAGGAGAGGGAGGGCAGGGGTGCAGAGTCACGGAGAGTGGGAAATAGACTTTGGAAGACTGGATTAAGGGACTCATCCTTTCCTCCTGCCAGGTCAGGAGTTCTTCATTGGCCGATGAGAGGTAGTGTGGAACACCGGTCTGTTCCTTCCTCTGCCACCCCCAGCTTTCCATTTAGGACACAGCTTTCTATGTCTTTTGTCATTTTGGGGTCATTGAGTTGAATCTACTCTTTCTTGAGTTCCCCACCCTCCCCCTCCCACCGCTGGGAAGATGACTTTCTGAAGTGGCTTTCTGAAGTCATCTTCCCCCACTTCTTACACTGCAAGCTAGTCTCCCTTGTCTTTTTTGGTCTATCTTTGGATTTATTTCCCTGAAGTGGGTATGCAGGAATGAAGCAGACTAGAGGTGCTTCCAGATCTGTTCTGCCCTTCATCAGTGTCCACCCTTCCCCTCTGAACCAGTCCAAGACTGCGACACTTGTGTCAGAAGTCCCTTTGGCCCCTTTCCTGCTCCTGAATCCCTGGAGAGGTATTTGGAGGTGGGAGGAGGGGTAAGGTCCGAAGTGGAAAGTCTGACGCTGAGTCCAGGCCCCCAGCCCCACTCAGACTGGCTGAGCTCATCTCTCCAAGCAACCGCAGCTGGACATTTTCCATGTGATCACCTCAGGGAGGGGGGCTGGGTTCCAGAAACGCAGACAGAGCTGACTATCACAGCTTAGGAACAGAGCACCCTCAGGTGCCGCCTCTCCACCTTCTCCTGTGTTCTGCATGGGAAAGCCCTGGGAGAGTAGCAAGGAAAGGAGAAACAGGTCTGGAGAAGGGCCAAACCTGGAATATATTTTGGGTCCACGTTGGCCCAGGTTTCTACATCTTTCTCATGTTCACCATTTGTGCCGGCCAGGCTGGGAAAAGATCCTGTGTGATGTGAATGTGCCTGTGAGGTGAAAACCTCCCTCTGTGTGTGTGTATGGTCTGAAAATCTGAACGTGTTTGTGTTGGTGTATTTGCATGGGTGTACTGTATCCTGAGCTGTCAATCGGCTAAAGTTGGGGTGCGTGTGTGTGAGGTGTGATTGCCCCTGCTCTCATACTAGTGCAGTGGGAGGTGAGATAGCAGTTTGGGGAAGAGGGCTGCCTGTTCTTAAAACTCTCCCAACCCTCCCCACCACCACGTCCCTTCCCAAACTCATGGTGTTCTCTTTCAACTGCAGATACTGGAGGGCCAGAGAAAGCAAGCTTGAAACAGAGAGGAATGGGTCACTTTGGTGGAGGAAATTGGGGTAAGGGGGCTTCTGGAACTGGCTGACACGGGAGTGATCATCTAGCTATGATACAGGAGCTGCTTTGAGAATAGCCCTGGCCTCTGCCATGAAGGCTGCTGAGCTGGAAGCTTTAGAGGGCATTTCGTGTGGGTCTCTGCTCTCCTTTCCCCACTCCCCCTGGGCCTGAGATGTCTGGACAGGCTGGAGGAGGTTGGTGGGGAGGCAGGGAAGGGGATGGGCAGGAAGCACTTGGCTGTTTGTTCCCTCTCTTTCCTGACTCCTTTGTGGCAGCAGGCTGGCTTCCTTCCTTCTCTCAGCATCTTGGCTCCCGGCTCATTTCCGCTCTTATGCCCTTAGTCTAGCTCTCAGTCTTGCACAGGGGAGTTTTTCCAAGCCGGGTCTTCTGGGCACAGGGACTCCTAGATAAGTGGGGTAGGGGCTGAGGAATGCAAATGAGATGTCAGTGTACCCTTCCCTCAGCCCATTCAAAGTCTGTAGCCCTGGATTGAATGAACTGGAGGAGAAGCTTATTTGCCAGGGGATGGGAAGCAGAAACCCAGGTGTTTGGTTACCTGGGGCCTGCCTCTCCTTCAGCCTGAGATGTGGAGAGAGCAGGGCTGGAAAGGCTCCCTACCCCCACCTCAGCCTCGCTTCCCTCTCTTCGTCCCTACTTGGCTGTCCTTGCTTCAGTCTGCCCCTGCCCCACCTCCCACCTCCAGCTACTGCCCTACAAGTCAAGGAATGTAAGTTTTATTTCTCACCCTCTCATTGATTAGTCATGGGCACCCCGATCCCCACGGGAACCGTTACTCACCCTTGGGCCCCCCCTCATCAGCAGTCTCCCCAGAACTGGCTGAATTCCTGTAGGAGGAGTTCACAGCCAGCCGTTGGACTTGGGGGGAGGTAGTGGGGGTTGTGGGTGGTGGGCAGTGTCCTAGAGACAGCCACTTTTGGAACAGTGGTTTGACCTTATTATGGCCCGGAAGCATGAGTCTCTCTCCTCCCAGCACACACGTACATACACAGGGACGTGGCACTCCTGGTTCTAGCTACTTTAATCACCATGGGTATTTTGTCAGAAGAGGTGAGGCTGGGGTAGGGAAAGTGTCCTGTGACTGTCTGGAGAAGGGCCCAAAGCAACTGAATATTTAGTCTCTTCACTGGTGCTGGCTTTGGGGGCCAGGACTAGGGCCTGGGGCCTGCTCTTTGGACTTGGCTGAGTGCCCAGGCCTGGCCTCTGTCTCCCAGAATCAGACGGGGGCCTTTCCCAATAAGGAGCTTCCCAACTCTGGGTCCACTTCCCTGTTGCCCCCACCCCTTCTCCCCTCTAACAGCTCTTCTGCCCTAAAATGGCCACGTTTTTTCTTTCTTCTTCCCTCCCCTACACCCAGGTTTGGGCCCCAGGGGTAGAGCTGGGGGTTGGCTAAGGGTAAGACTGTACAAGGGCCAGATGGGCAGGTTTGGAGAAGGGTAATGAGATCCCAGGAAGAGAGAGGAACCATGCCACATGGCTCAAGTATGTATGGGGGGTGGAGGTGGAGGCACAGCTTCCTGGAGTTATTGTCTCTCCTATAATAATAATAGCTTATGCTTTATGCTACATAGTATGCATTCTAAGAGCTTTGTATGTATTAACTTGTTTAATTGGCACTGCCCCTCTATCAGGGAGGTACTATTGACCTATTCCATAAAATGAGGAAACTGAGGCACAAACTTGCCCAAGGTAAGCAGAAGAGCTGGGATTCAAACCCAAGCAATCTGGCTTTACTTTAGGAAAGACCAGTCCACTAGGTATATCTTTGGAATGCTAGAGACTCACTGGCAAAGGCAAAAGGAATGCCTTTATGAGGCTTATGGGGTGGTCATGCTCACAGAAGCTGCTGGTCAAGTGTACCCCACTTTGGACCTAGGTGTTGGATTCAGACTAAACACTTTCAAAGAAAGCCATTGACCCATTCTTCTTTTCCTTTTTAAACTAATTCTTTGTTTGTTTGTAGGAACAGGGTCTCACTATGTTTGCCTAGGCTGGTCTCGAACTCCTCGGCTCAAGTGATCCTCCTGCCTTGGCCTCCTAAAGTGTTGGGATTACAGGAATGAGCCACTGTGCTCAGCAACAAATTCACTTTTTAAAAACAAATCTAGGCCGGGCGCGGTGGCTCACACCTGTAATCCCAGCACTTTGGGAGGCCAAGGCGGGTGGATTGCCTGAGTTCAGGAGTTTGAGACCAGCCTGGGCAACATGGTGAAACCTCGTCTCTACTAAAATACAAAAAATTAGCTGGGCATGGTGGCGCACGCCTGTAATCCCAGCTGCTTGAGGAGGCTGAGGCATGAGAATTGCTTGAAACTGGGAGGTGGAGGTTGCAGTGAGCCAAGATCATGCCACTGCACTCCAGCCTGGGCAAAAGAGTAAGACACTGTCTCAAAAAAACAACAAGGCTGGGTGCGGTGGCTCACACCTGTAATCCCAGCACTTTCGGAGGCTGAGGCGGGTGGATCACGAGGTCAGGAGATCGAGACCATTCTGGCTAACATGGTGAAACCCTGTCTCTACTAAAAATACAAAAAATTAGCTGGGTGTGGCGGCGGGCGCTTGTAGTCCCAGCTACTCGGGAGGCTGAGGCAGGAGAATGGCGTAAACCCAGGAGGCAGAGCTTGCAGTGAGCTGAGATTGTGCCACTGCACTCCAGCCTGGGAGACAGAGTGAGACTCCGTCTCAAAAAAACAAAACAAAACAAAAAAACAAACACAAAAAACCCCCCAAATCTATTGATCTATTGTTGATGTGCAAATGACATACACGTTAGCACAGAAGCCATCTAAGTGTGACTGGAGGTGGAGGAAGGGAAGAATGCAAGAAGGGGCAGATATAAGGATTAGAGAAGACCCGGGAAAATAAGGAAGAAGCCAGTAAGCTTGTATGTGGAGGGACTTACTTGAGCCTTTCTCCAGCTTTTGCTCATGTTTTAGGTAGTTAAAAATAGTGATTTATTCTACTCACTGAGAGAGAGAAATGAAGAAGGGGATGAGAATTCTTTTTCCCTTGAAAGCACACAGGGACTCCCTGGGCTGAATCCAGGTACTTGACTTGGAAGTTCCAACTTGAGCAAGTCTGCCCTTCTTTGGCTTTCAATTTTGTCTTTCCTAAATCAAAGAAATTGGGCTAGGTGAGCCTTGAGGTTCCATCTTACCCCAACACATTCAGATTCTCATACAGGAACTCCGGGGAAAACCAGGGTTGGGGCTGGAGTCCTTGTGTGGGGGCTAGGAATAAACAAATAATTGGTAACCAGGATGAGCTCAGTGATCTAGGGGAAAGGCTCTGTAGGGGGTGATGGGAAGGAAGCCAGGGAAGGAGAGGCCAGACCCCAGAAAACTGAATGGAGCATGGATTCATTCATTCATGCAACCATGTACTTTCAGAAACTAAAACCTAGGAATCTGAGCTTCCCATCCAACAAGGTTATAATAAGCCCATGGGCTCTAGATGCCTAGGAAGGGCAAACTCCCAGTTCCCTCCCCAATTTTTGAGATATTACAGGAGAAAACAGCTAATAGTTATCCAGTACCACGTATAGATCTAAGCATTTTACATATGTGACCTCATTTAACCTCAAAATAATCCTATGAAGCAGCATTTTGTATCTTTCAAATTGATTTCCTCATTTAATCCTCCTCAACTATTCTCTAAAGTTAACAAGGGCATTTGATTGATGAGGAATCTTTAAAAGTGAGAAAAGAAGAAACTAGATTTGTAGTAGGATTTTCTAAGTGGTAAAGGTGGGAGCCCCTGGAAGGAGTTAGAGGGCTCTCACTTCCTAGCAAGGTATTTTCTGACTCTAGGCTTCCCGATTGTGGGGGGTGGGAGAGTGCTTTCCAGCTCTTGACAAATGGCAGATAAAGATATGCATCAAGTTACTGATCAGGAGCAAGAAAATGGCACTCTGATGTCTTTGAGAATGTTTATAAGAAGTCTCTAGACATAGAAACAATCACAGGATTGAGGATTACCTTAAATCTGCAAAGAGAGCTTGAGAGGCCAGAGGTAGAATTCTGAGTGAGTTAGCTCCCCTTTGTTTCTACCAACTACTGGTCAACAGCAGGAGAGAAGGAAATTAGATATATGGAGGGATTTACCTATTGTTTGGGGCTGATAGAATCCTGCCTCCTGTGGGTAATAGTGAAGTTAATTCTTCTATCACTGTAATCAGCAGGAGCTACAGGTGTGAGTGGTAGTGTTAGTGGAGAGGGGGGATGGTAGTGAGGATGGGATTGCCTGGAAGACCTCTGACCAGCTAGAAGAGCCTGAGATTTTGAGAGGGAGGAGAGAATTTGCCAGACGGGTACTTGCGGGGAGGGTCCAAGTGTTTGGGCTCCAGCCTGGGGTGAAGTCAGAGACATAAATCACACCTCCCAACTGCCTGTTTCCGCTTTGAGCTCAGTTCCCAGCCAAAAGCCCAGCTAGCCTGCCAGAGGAGTGAGCGCGTGGATGGGGGAGGGGCCAAAGAGCTGGAAGCTGGTGATTGGGAATGGGCGTCATCAGCTGGGAATCTGGTCTCATCAGGGTCATGAAATGGACTCAAAGCCAGGGCTGGTAGAGCAGGGAGCCCAGGGATTTCAACAGAACTGCTCTGTAGATGCCTCATGCCACGCGAGACACACCCACAACCACACCCTGTTTGCTGACTTCTCTCCCACACATAAAAACCACTGGGACATGCCTAGAGGCACAGACACCTACACAGACACACCCCCGCCCCCATCCAGCTGTTGCTCACTTGTGCCAGAAAACTCTACGTCTTCTGGATAAGTAGAACTAGGAGAAATGAGTGAGGGTTGAGAGATAAGGAGGATCCTGATCTTCGTTAAGATCTGGAAACACTTTTCTCTAGTAATCTTAAAGGCCTGCTCTGTGTTATCTTTTTGCCCTTCCCCACTGGGGATGGGTCTGGGTGATTTCCCTTCTCACTTTAGGAGAACTTCAGTGGTCTGTCGTCCTCTTGGTGGGTAGTGCCTCCTAATCACAGTGATGGCAGAACAGGAGGCAAGAGATTGAGTGTGCATGTTGGGCGGGGTAGGTGTTTGAGGGCAGGAAGTCCAGAAAGCCACTCAGACAATGGCCTTTTCCGCGCGCTTGGGTCCAGGCTGCTGGATCCTGTCTGACCCTAACAGCACCTCCTATTTTTCCCTCTGGTTAGCTTCCCACTCATACTCATTTCGGGGCATATAGGAGAGGCAGGATTCCTTTGGAGGAAAGGTGTCCTGTCCATCAGTCCTTTTCCAGGCGACTGTTCTGGGTTGACCACAAGGATTTGGGGGCATAAGTAACCTTATCAAGCCTGGGACCACCCCACCCATGCCTAGTGTCCTCTTAAATGTAGCATTTGTTATGGCCCCTACATGGTACAGCTGTAAGCACTTTGACATCTTAAGGGAATCATGAGGCTTTAATTTTGGGCTAAGTTTGTCCCATTTTGTTTTCTGAATTGTCTGTATCCTATCAGACTGGAAACTTGAATAAAGCAAAGATTGTGTCTGTCAATTGGTACAGCCCTGGACCAGCATTAGGAAAATAATATATGTCTTTTGATATTCAAGGTGACAATATGATTACACTGAAGAGAGAAGATGTTGGGAATGCTGGGATATATTTTTTCCTAGAAAAGTGAGGGTAGGTCACAGCTACCATGGCCACTTAAATGGGGGTAAACTGACCCTGAGGTCTCCAATCTCTCCATTCTCCTGACCTGTACTGGGGAGAACCAGAAAGCTTCTTTCAAATACACCTTCTACTTTAGTCATTTGGGTCTCAGTGTCTCAGCACTGTCTCACTAATGTGCCCATTTTGTCTTCAGCTTTGCGCCTGTGATTTCAGTGTCTGGAATGCACTGTCCTCTGTATTGGTCATCAAGGCCCATCCAAGCAAGCCCTGCATAAGCTTCCCCATCTCATTCTTTATTTTATTTTAAAATATTTATTTATTTATTTGAGATGAAGTCTTGCTCTGTTACCCAGTCTGGAGTGCAGTGGCATGATCTTGGCTCACTGCAACCTCCGCCTCCTAGTGATTCTCCTGCCTCAGCCTCCTGAATATCTGGGATTACAGGCGCCCACCACCAGGTCTGGCCAATTTTTATATTTTCAGTAGAGACGGGGTTTTACCATGTTGGCCAGGCTGGTCTTGAACTCCTGACCTCAAGTGATCTGCCTGCCTTGGCCTTCCAAAGTGCTGGGATGACAGGCGTGAGCCACTGAGCCCGGCCTTCCCCAGCTCATTCTAAGTCTCGGCAATGTGCCACTCTTCTGAAGTCCTAGGCTTATAGTCTGGAGTACATGGTCTAGCACTTAATTATCCAGGGTATTAATGAAGTCCTTGGATAATTTAGAAATTGAATACATTTGGATGCACCTATGATAGAAGCAACTCTAAATATTTTATGAAAGCATATTCCATAGAATTTTTTTTTTTTTTAGACTGAGTCTTGCTGTGTTGTCCAGGCTGGAGTGCAATGGCGTGATCTTGGCTCACTGCAACCACTGCCTGCCAGGTTCAAGCGATTCTTCTGCCTCAGTCTCCTGAGTAGCTGGGATTACAGGCATGCGCCACCACCCCCAGCTAATTTTTGTATTTTTAGTAGAGACGGGGTTCCACCATGTTGGTCAGGTTGGTCTCGAACTCCTGACCTTGTGATCTGCCTGGGTCAGCCTCCCAAAGTGCTGGGATTACAGACATGAGCCACTGCGCCTGGCCAGAATTTTTAATGATAATGTTTGCTTTTTGTTAATGTGCTTTTATTTTGCACAGGGAAGTCATCTGAAAAGACTTGAGTTTGAATGTTGCCTTCCTTACTTAATAGATATGTAACCTTGGCAAGTTACTTAACCTCCTTGGGTCTCAATATCTTAATCTGTAAAATGGTAGTAATATCTTTCTCATAGATTTGTTGGGATAATGAAACTAATATGCTATATGTATGGTTACAGTACTTGGTTGTAAATATTAAAGCCTCATTCAGTCTGTTTGATAAATCTGAAATCTATTTAAACTCTGATGTGCTCTCTGTAATACTGTTTTTTTTTTTTTTTTTTTTGAGATGGAGTCTCACTCTGTCGCCCAGGCTGGAGTGCAGTGGTGTGATATTGGCTCACTGCAACCTCCACCTCCTGGGGTTCAAGTGATTCTCGTGCCTCAGCCTCCTGAGTAGCTGGGATTGAATGTAATGTATTTTATAGATCAAGTCCCAGCACAAACACTAATTCCTCCAAGAAGCCTTCATTAATCCCCCACCCAGTACTCCTGATTTCACTAGTCACAGCACCTACCCCACTATATTGTATCTTCCTGTTTGTCTCTCCTTTTAGACTAAGTTCTGTGAGGTAAGGATCCTGTTTACTTCTGTTTTTCCACTGCCAAGCACATTACCTGGATAAACAAATATTTGAATAAGTTGAGCCTATTTTTAAAGCAATGGTAAACATAACACAGCAACATTACAAAACTAATTTCTGAATTGTATGACATTGTTTTTTACAAGGTGGTCTTCTAGCAAGATAGCATTTCTTACTATCATGTTTTTAATGTGCATCTAATTACTGAATTGGATCCAGAGATGTGGTCCAATTACTTGTTAACTTTTGTCACCTGACCTGTCCCCACAACTTATATTTTGTAAGTGTGGCAGAGACCACTAATTCTCATGGTCCTGTCTCTTCTTCCTTTTAATAGCATGACTCTGCTACCCTGCTCTCCACACAGTAAATCTTAGCAGGGTGCATGGCTGCCAGCTAGATACTACACTGTCCAGCCTCTCTTGCAATTAGAGGTGGTCCCATAACTATGTTCTGGTCGATGGAATGTGAGTGAAGCAATGTGTGTAACTTCTGGGTCATGTCTTTAAAAAGGAAAGGTAGTTGCTCTCTCACTCTTTCATCCTTCTGCTTGCTATGACATGGTGACACATTAAGCAGCCACCATGGACCCAGAGATGCAAGCCTTTTCTATCAAAGACCATCTACTCCATATATCTCTGTACTAGTACTTTATTTGAAGTAAGAGGCTCACTATATTTGTGGGTTTCTTTGTTGTAGCAGCATGGCTGATATCCTTTGAATGAAAATTAAGATAACCATATAATTCATTAAATCCCTTAGCCTACTCTGAAGAATGTTTTCAAGGAGCGCAAAATAAAAACCAAGTTTCAATGAAAATAGAGTTTACTGAAGTCACTTATTCAATGGCATTTTGTGAAAAACTATGAAATTTATTCTATCATGAGCATATTCAAAGTTCTAGGTTTATAAACATAGTAGCTCTTCTATTTAGCATTGCTTTTTAGCATAACTTTGAAATCCCAGATAGATTATGTGGTAGCCTCCAAGATGGCCTCATTGACCTTCCTCTCTTGGTATTCTTACCCTTTCTGTTTTCCCTTCCTATGCTGAATGACGGCTGGCCCATGTAACCAACACAATACTGTGGAAGTGACATGTGTAACTTTTAACACGAAATCATGAGACATTGCAGTTTCCACCATGGTCTCTCTCGGATCTCTTGCCAGCCACCAAGCAGCCAGCAAGCAGCCCTATGGAGAGGCCAATGTGGAGAGAAACTGAGGCCTTCCACCAAAAGCCAGCACCAACTTGCCATCCATGTGTGTGAACCTGCTTGCAGTACAGAGTGGTCAACCCCAGTCAAGCTTTCAGATAACTACAGCCCTAGCTGACATCTTGACTACAGCTTCAAGAGCGATATCAAGGCAGAACTGCTTCGCTAAACTGCCCTTGAATTCCTGACCCACAGAAACTGAGAGAGAGAATAAATGTTTATTGTTATTTCAAGTGACTACATTCTGGGGGTAACTTCTTATGTATAGATAACATATACTATAAATTTCTTGAAAGTAAGATTCATGACTTATACTTATTTTACCTCAAGTTATTGTTATCAACTACTCTCCCACCCCTAACCTAGGTGATTAGAGCATACTACAACATCTGATACATGAGATGTGAAATGATATTCTCTTTGAAATTCAGCATAGGTTAACTCAGTGAGAGAAAACAACATATTAATTAGTCTGACTAGCTTTTCCTCCCTGAGGGCATTTAAGATTTCTCAGGGTGGAGGTGAGGAGAAGTGGTAGAACTCAGGTCTCAGATGAGTATTGTTACTTGTCATACTGGAATCTCCCCAAATTCTCTGTTGTCAGTAGTTAAGTTGAATATTTTCTTCAGACTGAGTGTGTATGAAAGCTCTGGTAAATGGAATGTTTCCAATATCCTATGGAAACTCACCTGGGCAAAGGAAGTGAATCAATGTCTGGAAGGAAAGTAAAGGCATTCCTCTCTTCACAGGATAAATTCAGGGACAGGTCCTTTACTAGGGACCAGGTGAAAACTGCACAGGCAGGAAGAACTAACAGTCAGCCCACTGTGAATATAAAGGGGCAGGAAGAGACTAGTGAGGAAGGGCAGCAGCTGCTGCTGCTGCTGGTGGTGGGGTTGGGTGGGCAGTGGAGCAGAGATCAGAGACAGATTGGCTTTAGACCCAAAATTTATCTACATATATTTAAAGATAGGATCTTACTCTATTACTCAGGCTGAAGTGCAGTGGCCTGATCATAGCTCACTGCAACCTCAAACTCCTGGGCTCATACCATCCTCTCACTTAGGCCTCCTGAGTAGGTGGGACTACAGGCATGTACCACTGTACCTGGCTAATTTTATTTTATTTTATTTTATTTTTTTTGAGATGGAGTTTCACTCTTGTCTCCCAGGCTGGAGTGCAATGGCACGATCTTGGCTCACTGTAACCTCCACCTCCCGGGTTCAAGCCATTCTCCTGCCTCAGCCTCCAGGGTAGCTGAGATTACAGGCACCTGTCACCATGCCTGGCTAACTTGTGGATTTTTTTTTTTTTTAAAGTAGAGACGGGGTTTCACTATGTTGGTCAGGCTGGCTTTGAACTCCTGACCTCAGGTGATCCATTCGTCTTGGCCTCCCAAAGTGCTGGGATTACATGTGTGAGCCACTGCGCTCGGCCTAATTTTACTTTTTGTAGAGACAGGGCTCTTGCTATGTTGCCCAGGCTGGTCTCAAATTCCCGACCTCAAGCAATCCTCTTGTCTTGGCCTTCCAAAGTGCTGGGATTACAGTTATGAACCACTGTGCCTGGCTTTGATACATATTAATATGATGAATATTACCCAGATGAGCATCACTTTCTTCTTGAAATAGTAGTTTTAGATTGTTTTGGTTACAAGGCTGACTGGAGCCTCCAGCCTTCTCACTCTGCAAAAGATTAGGAGATCTGCATCTCTGATCTTCAAATCCCTATAGTGGGTCCCCAGTGGTGGGAAACAGATAGTGGGAAAGGGACATTGGGAGCTCAGAACTGTCATTTCCCCACTGCTTTAGTACTCAGTTCCCTTAGCTCAGACAGCTTATGTCTGGGGTCACATGGGGTTCTGTGGGTGCTAGACTGGTCACCTTTAACAAGGCAAAGTAAATTACTTCTCAGAACTGAACAGCAGATGTTGGAGGAGGACAATATTCTAGATATCATCTAGCCCAATGTCCTCATTTTAAACAAGGCCCAGAGAAAGGAAATGACTTGCCCAAGGTCATACAGCTAATGTGGGACAGAATTCAGGTGTCTTTATTCCAAGTCAGCTCTTTCCATCATGCCACATTTGCTTTCACTCATTAGGATAAAATCATATTCCATTTTTTCCTACTGACTCCCAACTTCCAGTTCTGGGTTGGGAAAGGTTCAATTTCCAGACTTTTCTTTTCTAAGGATAGGACCAAGAGACTTCGCTACTATTTTTAGGCAAAATAGAGCGTTACCTCCTTTCCCTGCCTCTCTTTCCCCTGTTGTTTTCAATGAGGAACTGAGTCTATTTCTCTATGGCAGGAGGTCTCTCAAGTTCTGAGTTCCATTCAGTTTGTGGCAGGGAAGCTGATAGGCACAATGCTGTGGGATGCCCTTCACCTTGGCAGGCTGATTGTACCCAACTGGTGGTCATGGCCTAGTGCCCATTGGCAGGCAGGGTGTCCACTCATGCATTAACTTGATGTCTGTTGTCCATGGATGCCAGATGGCTGGCTGAATACCTATAGTGCATCTTGTCTGGTCTGCAGTTCCTGGTTTGTGTCACTTTTAGATTTGAACATGTGTGAGAATTTTAGGAGGGTGGTCGCTCCACGGATTTAAGATACTGGCATTTCCAGATTGGCAGAAGGGAGGACACCTTACTGCCAACCTAGAATCTGTGCTGGATAGCACAAGACCTGGACTTCAGGAAAGTTCTTAAAATGTCTCTGTGATCTCTCTCTTCCCAACACTCCCCCACTGTAGAGTTCTTGGTGTCACTCCTCCCTACATGGTATGTATCTCCGTCTCAGGCCAGTGTCTAAGAATGGGAAGGCAGAGAAGTGACATATGTGTGCGTTAGGATGAGTGGACTGGGAAGGAGAAAAGGCACCCTGCTTACTCGTTCCCACAGACTCAGAAGACTCTGGAAGCTACCTAATGCCCTAAAATTTCCACTGCAGTCCCAGACAACCTTAGACTATATCTCCACCTACTGGACACCAAGGAGATTGACAACACTGTCTCAGTTTTTTCTTTAGAACTAGCATAGAGCCTAAAACCTCATCAATACTCTACGGTTGTTTTTTTTTTTTTTTTTTTTTTTTTTGAGACGGAGTCTTGCTCTGTCGCCCAGGCTGGAGTGCAGTGGCCGGATCTCAGCTCACTGCAAGCTCCTCCTCTCGGGTTCACGCCATTCTCCTGCCTCAGCCTCCCGAGTAGCTGGGACTACAGGCACCCGCCACTTCGCCTGGCTAGTTTTTTGTATTTTTTAGTAGAGACGGGGTTTCACGGTGTTAGCCAGGATGGTCTTGATCTCCTGACCTCGTGATCCGCCCGTCTCGGCCTCCCAAAGTGCTGGGATTACAGGCTTGAGCCACCGCGCCCGGCCAATACTCTACATTTATCCCAAGGTTAAATCATTCCTTCTCAGAATTTGTTGAAGCTATGGGGGCAGACTGACTGCCTTTTCAGGGAGACTGGGTACTAGGAAGACTTGGGTACAATTTCCCCCATACACTGCTTTCTCTCTTTTTTTTTTTTTCTTTTTTTTTTTGAGACGGAGTCTCGCTCTGTCGCCCAGGCTGGAGTGCAGTGGCCAGATCTCCGCTCACTGCAAGCTCCGCCTCCCGGGTTCGCGCAATTCTCCTGCCTCAGCCTCCCGAGCAGCTGGGACTACAGGCGCCCGCCACCTCGCCCGGCTTATTTTTTTGTATTTTTAGTAGAGACGGGGTTTCACCGTGTTAGCCAGGATGGTCTCGATCTCCTGACCTCGTGATCCACCCGTCTCGGCCTCCCAAAGTGCTGGGATTACAGGCTTGAGCCACCGCGCCCGGCCATACACTGCTTTCTCTATCAAAAAAATCTGTCAGCCGGGCACAATGGCTCATGACTGTAATCCCAGCACTTTGGGAGGCCGAAGTGGGTGGATCTCCTGAGATTAGGAATTCAAGACCAGCCTGGCCAACGTGATGAAACTCCCTTTTCTACTAAAAATACAAAAATTAGCCAGGCATGGTGGCGGCGTGCACCTGTAATCCCAGCTACTCTGGAGGCTGAGGGAGAATTGCTTGAACCTGGGAGGCGGAGGTTGCAGTGAGCCGAGATTACACCATTGTACTCCAGCCTGGGCTACAGAGCAAGACTCTGTCTCAAAAAACAAAACTAAACAAAAAACGTCTCAGGCGCTGGATCAAGAGCCTCAATTCCTTGCTTCAGTTGCCCTGGATATAGGTTGGTTAAACTCTATTCACCTCCTATGCCCATGGACAGAAAACAGCAGGTAGGTGGGGTTAGATCATAGGGTCCCTGTTAGCCTTAGGGCAAGGGGAAAGCAATCTTAAAGAATTGCCTTTTACTCGTCTCTCTGTCTGCCACCTGACTCAAATATGGGAGAGACTAGGGGTGTCCGCTATTGTTCTTTTTTTTTTTTTTTTGTATTTTTAGTAGAGATGGGGTTTTACCATGTTGGTCAGGCTGGTCTCGAACTCCTGACCTTGTGATCCGCCCGCCTCGGCCTCCCAAAGTGCTAGGATTACAGGCGTGAGCCTCCGTGCCCGGCTCTATTGTTCTTTTCACATCCACCAGCAGTTCTCTTCCTATGCTCATTAGCAAAGACAATTCCATTAGAATCCATTAACGATCATTTTGTCCATGCTGAAACCATGGGCTAGCTATTCACCAAAGTCCCTGGGCTACATCTTCAGAAGTCAAGGTCGTATATAAGTAGTGACAGCTCTCAAATGAATTCTTTATTGGTGAAATGGGGACAATGTCAATACACATCCTCAAAATTGATCAGGCTGCACAATAATATCAATTCATGGAGGTTACAGCACTAGGAAAACAATTTACATCAGATCCAGAAATTTACTCTCCTTCTCCAGCTGAACATCTTACCAGGTGAAGTAAGAAGCAGTCATTTCTTTTTTATTTTTTGGATGTCTGGTTTTCACTTAAAACATGCCCTTTAAATATCTTTCAAATTTTTGTTTAAAGGGAAGGAATCATGAAGGAATTAAGACAATGTTGGGGATCATCTTATGCTACATACAGTTCATGTCATTTCTGTATTATGTATCTTCAGTTTATTCATTATAGCTAAAATGTATTGAGTGTTTACTGTTAAAACTCTTAAAAACTTTAATGCATTTTTCCCACTTATATCTTTAAATTATCTTATGACATAAATACTATACTTTTATTTTCTTTATGTTCTTAATCACTACTATGCTTTTATTTTTATTTTG